GAGCATTGAAACATGGTGTTTACTGCATTATCCCTTGTGGGGTATAATTATATTGTATATATGTGAAAGCAATTTAATTTGTTTGCATCAAGAGAGACACTTGTGCCATATTCAAAACAATAATAATGTGCACAACGATGCAGAGAGGATTTAAAATTTTTTAACTGTTCTGTCTCAAATAACACATCCTTTTATTATTTTTGCACACTATCTGCATTCAGAAAATAAACCCCAAAGTGAGCTCCAGCAGAAGTGAGGGATGGTTTGATTAAACCCCGTGTTGCTGCACTCTTCCTCTGGACTCAATCTGTTCATTTTGGTGGAGTTCAATAAATCAAATGTGTGATACATTCAGGAGATGTCCCTCCCATCCTCTAAGCACGGGATTTGAGCTCACCCTGACCTAAAGGGGCAGGTTTACAGGGAGGACTGACTGCACCTGATTGCCTTGGCACTGAAACAGAGGCTATTTTATAGATAGATAGAAATATAGATACCTTATACCTTTGGTAAGGTTTGGGTACATTTGGGAAAAGGAAATCAAACAGCAGGAGGATCCACTTTTCACTCCTTGTCCTGGTGGAAGAACTCTGTGGTTCTGAGCATCAGATCTGCAGCAAAGAGGTGAAACCAAAACCTAAACTGTTAGAAACAGAGAATCCCAGAACATCCTGAGTGGGAAGGGAGTCACAAGGATCATCAATTCCAACTCCTGGCTCTGCACAGGACACTCCAAAATCCCACCATGTGCCTGAGAGGATCATCCAAACCCTCCTGGAGCTCTGGCAGCCTTGGGGCTGTGCCCACTGCCCTGGGGAACCTGGGCAGTGCCCAACCACCCTCTGGGGGAAGAACCTTTCCCTGAGATCCAACCTAACTCTGCCCTATTAGATGCCTGTCTATGGAATTAAGACTAGTTTGCTTGGTTTTTTTAATGTTCTTCCTGTAGATTTTGCTATTAAAGCACAGAGAATGAACATGTCTTGTGTTTATTCATAAAACTGTCAAATAATAAAGAATTCAGGGCTGAACTCTCCTCCTTTTCCCATCTCCACACCCTCATCCCTCTCCACCAGTGCACACCAACCACGTGCCTCTGCTGCAGGACTGTCACTGCTTCCATCCCCTCTTCCCATCCCTGGAGTCAGGTACAGAAAAGCAGGGAAAAAAAAAAAGCCACTATCTTTGTGGAATTTTCATAATAGAGCTCTACCATGACTAAGTGATCGGTTTTGACGTGCGATGCAAATCTGGAGTTAAAAATATCGTTTTCCCTCAAAGTTAATTATGAATCATTAGAAAGACTGAAATAAAATCTCCTACCACGTTCCTTTCAGCTTTTTTTTTTTTTCCTGAGCAAACATGGAAAATATAAATCACTTCAGAGGACTGTTACAAGGTAGCAGACACTTGGTAACTTTGGGGTTTATTTAAACTGAACTACTGTCTCTAAATCATTTGTTGTTGCATCTGCAAGTACTACAACAGCTGAAAATCACCTTAGAGATATAAATACCTTCTGCTGAAGTGTATTAAAGTGAGCAGGTACAGGAATAGACACACATCCATGAGTGTGATAAAAATTTGATACTTCTATTGAAAAAGCACTAATCATGCAACAAACCAAAATAGAAACAGAAATTTCTTCTCAGGAAGCAACCCTTGGTAAATTTAAATTTGACTGTTTTCAATCTCGCCTTGGGCTGGAGAAGCAAATTATCAATAACGCCAAAGCTGCAGAAATTCCATTATTTATTTTAATTTCACATCTTCTAAAATCCACAAAGAGATATTTTTCTCTTCTTCTCACGTTTAAATCACTCCAGAAAGAACAGGGTGTTGTTTCAACAGAACCAGAGGTTGGTTTGTTGGTGAATTTTTAAAGATAAAGCACAAGAAGGCAGAAATAGCAACATATTCTTCCCTCTCTTTTCTTAGCACTGCACCTCAACTCAGATCCCTGAGGAATCCTCCTGCCCAGCCATCCCCCCAAATGCTTGAACATTTAAGTTGAATTTTGCTGTGGATGGAGAAGAGGGAATTGGGAGGACAAAGGGAAGAGAGAAAGGGGAAGAAAAGTCAAAGGTATTGAAACTTGCAGGAAGATACCAAAGGCAGGAGAGGTAAATGGAGACGTGTCTCAGCACACAAATGTGACACCAGCGACCTGTGACATCCTCAGCCCCAAATATCAGACAGGCTGAGACTTAAGGAATTTAAAGTATTAGAGGTAGGTAAATAATTCATGAGCATATCCACAGGTACAGGAGAAAGGATAAAATAAGAGTGGCACAGGGTCCCCCAAAGCCCAGCTGAGTCTGAGCCCTGCCCACGTGAGCACACAACCCCTGGCACTGCTGGGCACTGTTCCCAAAGGATTTCTGGCAGAGGGCAATGGGGTCATGGATGGGACAGCTCACACACAGCTGGAAGCTCACAGAAACAAACCTGCTGTACAAAAGAGGGATTTACAGCAAGACACCACTTCTTTCCTATATTTATGGCAAAAAAAAAGCTACCACTACCTGCTTATGTTTCTTTATGGCAAAAGACACCCCACTCGCCTAAATTTACATGATAAAAAAGCAGCATTTGCATGAAATGTCTACAAAGCACCACTTTCACAGAGTAAAGTGGGTTGGAGGTGCTGGGCAAAGCTGAAATGCATTTTCACTCTGCTCCCTGTACCATGTCAGAGCACAGGGGCTCTGTTCCCACCCAAAATCCCCTGAGGTGGTGACTTTTGAGAGGGGAAGGTGGCACAAGGCCCCCTGCCCCGCTGGGTATGGCCGGTGTGGGCACTGGCAAAGGCAGGAAGCCTCTTCACTGCTTCTCCTTCCAGCACCAGGGATGCACAGCAAGGCTTACAAAGTGTTGTTTCCAAAAATACAACCTGTACCCCCTCCAGTGATGCAATTACGAGGAGGTGTTGAGTGATCTCCCTCCCCGTGTACCTACGGCAAAGCTGCTCATTAAATATGCACCACTAAGTGCTTGTCTCACTCCTGGGATAAAATATCATTTTAATAACCTCAGCAATAAACAGGATACCTGCAAAACCCACAGGATGGGGAGAACAGAGCAGGATGAACTGGGAAGCAGTGCAGAATGAAGTGGGAAAGAATGCAGGATGAAGTGGGAAAGCAGTGCAGGATGAAGTGGGTGCTGCACATCCCTCGGCACAAACCACCTCCTCCAAAAGGTTGGGAAAAGGAATGTCCCAGAAAGAGGGAAATGTCTGATCCTGCCAAGCATCCATGGAGAAGGCTGAAGGAAAATGACTCCTCTGGGTGTGATTAAACCCTCTGACAGACCCAGGGAGCTGAGAGCCCTGTGTCCTGCTTCACTCCCACTGACTGAAGGATCCAAGAGGAGTTTGGATCAACTTTATCTCCTGAGATCCAAATAAAACTGTCTCTCACCCGGATTTCCCCTTCCCCTCATCCCACTGCTCTTGGGAAGCTGGGACTCCTCCCCCAGCAGCACCATTCCCTTCCCAAGAGCCCAAACCCTTCTGCACCTGCAGAGCCCCTTTGGGGAAGTTCTGAGGATGCAACACTGGGACACCTCGGATTTCATTTAATGTTCAGGTCTACTTTATATAATGTTCAGGTCTAATTTTTATTTATCCCATGAGCTCTCTTATAACCACAAAATATTGTTCTTTTTGCTCATATAAACAATTTTTTCACCTTTCTATGGGCTTGTTTCCCCATTTTGTTTTTGCTATACTGCAATTCCTTTGATTTTAGCAGGACAGTTGCAACTTAATGCAAAATCGGGATCAAATCTTTCTTAATTTACATTGAAATTAAAATATTAGTAATTTTTCTTAAGAATGCTGTACTTCTGACCAGCAGAAATAATAATATTTTTTTAGCTAGTACAGGCCTACAGATTGCACCAGTCAAACATCCCAGAGTGATCCAACACAGAGGCAGCTTTGGTGAGGTTCCACAGTGAGCTGGGAGCTCACATTTGGTGAAGATGCACTTAATTTTGATTTTCAGAGAATCACAGAATGGCTTGGGTTGGAAGAGACCTTAAAGATCATTCAGTTCCATCTCTGTGCCAGGGCCTCACCTCCCTCTGTGTAAAGAATTTATTCCCAACATCTTATCTAAATCTCTCCTCTTGTAGTCTAAAAGACAAGCTGATTTTCTTTACAGATACAGATAAGCCATTCTGGATTTCCTTAATTTCTCAGCCAGCTTCAAGCCCAACACAAGGATTAGTAAGATTGTCCTTTTCATTCCCACTGTCGGTTCACATTTAGCAATGTATAAGAAATAGTTTACCTTTATTTAAATGGAAATTACCTGCCCGAAAAAGTAGCTCCAGTGTGAGTTAAAAGCTGCTGCATCTCCAGCAAAATTAAGATAACTCCATACACATTGCTGGTGCTATTTTTTTCTTGGTATGATGGTCAAGTACACTTCTATTTAAAATAAGAAACCCCAAACCTTAAATTCCATGTTAACCCCCGGGAATACAAGGCTGGCCTGGAACAGAAAACAGGGTTTTTTTTACAGAAATTTCATTTTATCATGTTCTAACACCTACTTGTTCTCTGGAGTAAATTACCTGCAAAGATTGTATTAAAGAACTTCTGTATTGAAGAATAATAATGGCAATTTCATAGTGATTTCACAGTATTAAGCATGCACCACACAAGAAAACCATCAGAGCAAAATCCAATTTGTTACTTTTCCCACACTGAATTTTACTTCTCTTTGGTTGGCAATTAGTGATTACAAAAGTTTAATCAAAGTCTCCGTTTCTTCTTTCTTTTTAAATGTAGCACAGTCAGAATTAGATTTAACCAATAATTAAGTAAATTGGACTTGGCTTAGTACACAGGAAATTGAGGATAATTCATAAACATTATCCATTAGCAACCTGTATATTCATACAGATTTTTTGAGAGGTGATAGTGTTGAAACAAATAATTAGAAAATAAAAGTGTTTTTCAAGTGTATTAGAATGATAAATTCTTTTACCTGCATGTAAAGAGGGCTGCACTAGGATTTTATGGGGAGCTGCTGTTCAAATAAGTGGAGATTGACCTGAAAGAGAGAAATGTAAATGGGAAAGAATTACAAAACCTCAGCATGAAAGAATGACGCAGAACCTTTTCAAAAGAAGAAAAAGCATCATGGATATGGTGAGAAGGGAGAGAGAAATACCCAAATTGACATTTTTAAGGGAAATTAAAGACAGATTTAGGCCTTGCAGACTGTGGAAGAGAGAACAGTAGCACTGAAAAGAACATTTCAAATAAAGAGGATGTAGAGAAGGCTCAGCAATTTTGGGCTGGTTGCAGCTCTAACCTTCCTTTGCAGGGGTGGAACCGGGTTCAGCAGCCACATAATGATGCTCACAAGGGCTGTTCAATCCATTGCAACCCTGTTCTGCACTCAGAGGAGTCAAAAATTGAGGTGCAACTTGGAAATATGTAAGACTTCTGCCAGAAGGGATCAGAGTTGGAAACACAGAGTCAGGAGTTCTGTCAGGAGAGAAGTTCTGCTGTTCCAGCCCAATTCATCCCCATTTCCTCTTTGTTTTCTCCTCTGTCTTCAGTATATTAGTTTTTAGCTGAAGGAGTCTGAGTTGTTGCAGTGCAACACCTTTGATTCATGTGCTAAAACAGCAAGTGCAGCAGATGACATCAAGAACTGTCTGTGGAAATGCTGATTTACTGTTGTACAGCTTTGGGCTGAAACAGATCCTGAAATAATCCATCTGTGGCGCACAAAAAAAAATCCCCAGACTAGATTTCCAAAATATCAAAGCTCGGTTTACAATATAATTAATGAACTTTCATCTTAAGAGCATGGACACATAAGATGTCTTTAAATAGAGTCGACATCCAAGTTACTGCTGTCCAAAGTCTAATAAATGATATGATGTTGTGGCTGCACTTCACCCCCTCTCCTGGATAAATACTTTGCAAGGAACTGAGGACTGAAAACCAAATTCCTGTATCTGCTGCTAAAATTATGAGCTAAAATTTGGGCACTGTGTGAGGTTTTAAAAATAATAAATTCATCAGGAGGCATATTAGATTTCATGGTTATCTATTTTAACATAACAAATAGGATTATATTGTCCATCCTCAGTGCATTAGAGTTGCAAGCCTATATTTAAGCCTTTACACATCAAACTTCAGCAGCAGTGAGACAAAAATGAATTGTGCTGTGGCACAAAGTCACACCTCATGGTCACTTAACTGTATCACTCATTCAGTCTGAGGGTAAAATTTGTTAAGATGGGATTAGATACACAGCAAACACATAAAAAAAAATAAATGAGTCCATCAGATTTCATTAAATTCTAATGCAGTTCGAAATGACATAAATAGGTATGTTCATAAGCACAGCACTTTAACTGACATTTGCAAGGCCAAGGACAGAAACAGAGGACCAGGAGCCCAGAATTTTAGTTTTGTGGCTTATTGCACTCTTGATGTTGATATTCTCAGATTTTTATGACACTGACCATTCTTTCATTCCTCGTGGAAAACACTGGTAGGATTCAATGATCAGGATTACCCTGAAAAGGGAACACTCAATGAAGAAAGTTATTATGGTTTGCTTGGTCAGTTCGTGGTGTGGGAGGATTCCAAGTCAAGGCAAACCCTGAAAGAGGAGAGTCCACAGGGTGAGTCCATCTGCCCTACACAACAACAATAAAATGGGATGTTAAAATGTAACACTCCTTCAGCTCAAAGGTGCTCAGCACAGCAGCACCGAGAGTTTTGTTCCAGAAATACCCTCTTTGCCTTGGAATCACAAGTAGGGATTTTTAGTTTCCAGACTAAAAATAACTACTGAAATATCAGAGCTTGGAGCAGGACATCAAATCCAAATTTCACCCTGATGGTTTGAGGGCTGTTTGCCGAGGAAAGTTTAACTGTTGATGGGTGTAAGAACCCACACTGGTACTGACAGTGACACCAGCACATGAATATCTAATCTCATGCAACTGGAATCCATAAAAAATACGGTGATAAATCCTTTATTAGCTAACAGAGACTCATCATTTTTTAAACCTTCTTGCATTGCTACAAAAAACTCCACAGAAGTGTTTGCTAACAATGTTTTCCACATCCAGGATCCTGTATTCACACACTCTAACAGCTGGTCACTGGAGCACAAGGTTTCTTTTGGTTTAGTGTTCGTGTTCTACAGGAAGGTGTTTCCAGTTTAATCAAACACTGTGTGTGTCCCTGAGCTCTGATTAGTTTGTGAATTTTCCAAGGTAATCTTTCCTGTTTCATAGAATCACTGAACTCTCTCCATTTTACCAGGCATTACCTTCTCTTTTCACACCATTGCTGTCTCCTCCACTGCATCACATAAACAGTGGGGAAAAAAAAAATCAAGGAAAAAAGTATCCTCATAAAATAAAACTGCCAAAGTATCAAAAAAAACACTATCTCCTAAATGTGGATCCTCACTCAAGTGGCTTTGGGGACTACAGAATTTACGTAGCCAAAATCTGGCTCTATTACACGCATCAAAAACCAAGTTATAACCACTTGGAAAGGCTATAAAGTCTGGGGGTTTTTTGAAGTTTCAAGGTCATCAATATTGAGTCAGAGCAGCACTGCAGAGCCAGGGACAGGGAACCAGCAAGTGGCAGGAGCAGCCCTGGGGACACAGAGCTGTCCCAGCAGATGTGGGAGCTCAGCCTTTGATGTCAAACGAACTTGGGTTTGATGCATTGTATTGACCAGTTTCTTTGCTTGGCTGTATTTTGGGGGGGTTGAACACCTGAGTGTGGCTGAGCTGACAGGGTGTTTTGGGAGGAGGTGGGATTGTCCCACCACTGGGAATGGCAGCGTTATCACTGCTGAGTCTTTCATCAACTTTTTGCCTCAGCTTGGAGTGATTTGTTGTTCCCTCCTCACATGGAGATGGAAGCTTGGAGAGAGTGAGGAGCTTGTCAGAGCTGTGACTAATGAGCAAAGGAGTGAGAAAAGGGACTCAAAGAGGCTCTTTCCCTTGGCAGCTTTGCTCCAGGAGGGTGATGGCACTGGCTGTGCACTGTGCATGTGTCATGTTCTCTTCAACTCCTTTCTCTGCTGTGCACAAAGGAACAAGGACAGACCTGGAGCAAGGCAAACCTGGGAGACACTCTGGGTTCTGCCTCTGCCCATTAGGCCCATTAACTGTAAGCTTCACTTGTGATTAACTTCTTTAGGCTGAAGTTACAAGTGTCTCCTGTAATGAAGAGGTCATAAAATACAACCAAACCTGAAAAAGATTATATGGAAAGAAGTCTGGGAAGCAAAAGCAGTTATACAGCATCCAGGACTGCGAGAAGAAACTGGGAACTGGTGTAATGACTCTGAAGCAGAAGCTGGAAAGTGTGGAAAGCTGACAGGAAAGGGTCAGAGGGTTAAGCCTCTGACCATCTGCTTAAAAAAAAAAAAACAGAACTACAATATCTCTCCCAAAGTTCAGAAAACTCTGTAATGCACAGCAGAGATGTAGGGAATGCCAGCAATGGGATTTATCCATTACTAGACAAAAATGGCAGAAAAATTAACACTGGTAATTCACTGCACGGTAACTCACCTGTTGTTCTGCCAAAAGCCAATTGATTTATTCTGTCCATGAGATGATGAGTCACTTTCCTTTCAAAAATTAAGATGCCAAGTTATTAAATACAGGCATCATAAACGAGGAGGGCCAACACAGGCTCCTTCCATAGGTTTCAAACAAGTGTTATTTATGATCAGTGACTTTCAATGTCTATTCAAGAACAAGTGAAAGAAGTGCAATGTTTTGTCTACATATACAAGAGACAAACAGAATGACAAAGTAATTATATAATTATCATTCTGACAATGATTCCAGGCCAAGTAATGGAATGACTGAGGCAGAGCTCATTAAGCACAGAACTAAGAAAAGTGTAATTAATGCCAATCAAACTCAGGTTTATAAAGATTAGATCATTGCCCAACTAATGAGGTGCCTCTTTGTAAGATTAGAGGTTGATTAATGAAAGGTGAAAACATCAGAAACATTTAGTTTGGGCCCTGGGTGGTTCATTTCAAAAAGTAAAGATAGGAATGAACATGGTAAACGATGGGATGAGCTTGATTATGTCCCAAAATTGATACCTGTGAACAGTCAGGATGGGATGGTCCAGGGTCCATGTCTGAGAGGGTCTTTGTGGGTCATCACCACACGAGGCAGTTCAAACCCACTGTACAATCCACCAGAGGAAGAAGGAAATCCATGTGGCACATTCCTACAAAGAAGCTGGTGAGAGGCAATTTGTTAAACCACAGTAAATTGATCACTTACAATATTTGATAATATTCTTCTGCTCTCTATTCCCACCTCCCCTTCCCTACGATCCCCAGAGTTCATCTCCTACGCCTGTCCCAGTCTGAGTGATGCACCAACATGTTGATCAATCATGGCCACCTGATAAAGCCTTTCAATTTGTTCCTTTTTAAATTGTTCATCCTTCACTCTGGAACACTGCACTTCATCCTCTCGGGTGCTAAACACCGCCTGCTATTTTTTGTCAAATGTCATTCAAGAACTTCTCTGTGATATTGCTGCCCTCCTCTTTTTACAATAGCTCCCATTTTTTCAACCACTTCCATTAGCATCCTCTCATTTTTTTCTCCAGAGGACTAGAGAAAACATCAAATAAGATCAGTTCTTAGATTGATTCTTCAGAAATTCCATATTTGAGTCTCAGAGTTCCGTGCAGTGCAAATCAAAACAAAACTTAAAAGCCTCCCAGAAACTACATGGTGAACAAGATTGAAAATGTGTTATTCAGGCCAGCTGAAAGAGATAAGTTTTCGGATACTAGTATAGAAAAATATACTTTAAAACTAGTGATATCTTAAACACAGTGACTAGAATTAATCATGATGCTTCGGTGATTATTTAAAGTTGAAAATATTCTAAGCCAGACAATATTTTTTGAATGGCGTTAAGTTAATTTTAAGCATATAATTAAAGCTGTGGTTGCTGGATTAAATGACAATAATACTATTTCATGTTTTATAATCTATTTAGTGTCACAGACTCCCCCAACATACACAGACAAGGGTGTCCACACACATTCACCTCAGCTCTCCTACCTTTATGTTCCTCTATCTCTTTATAGGGTTATCTCCAGCTCAGAGTGAATGATTAACTTTATATTTGCCCTCTAATACTCCTTTTGAAGCTGCATTAAATGCTCTAATGATGTTAATCACATGCTGCCCCACACTCTTGGCCTTTGGCACCATCCTAAGCACACACACCACCAATCCTTTCTTCTTTTTTTTTTTTTTGCCATAAAAGTTCTTTTGATAAATCTGGGTAGAACCTGGCAAATCATTTACAGGACTATTTTCAGGAAGGTTATAACTTCAGTTAGAGTTGAACAGGAGCAGCACCTTTGATAATCAGATCTTAGGATTTCTGCAAAACATGTAACTGTCCTGTAAAATTAGTAACATCCATAAATCAGAACCCAAAGAAGTGTGAAATTGTATGTAATGTCTCACATCCATCACCATTTTTACTATCCTTGCTGTTTCCTGACACAGAGCAATACTTTTTAAGAGTTAATGGGTTATTCTGGACCAGAAATTCCCTTAGCACAGTTATCTCTTGGATGCTGTTGGTGTCACTTCTTGTGGGGTTTCCTCATTCCCAGCTGAAGAAAGTCAATGTACCTGAACGTGGTGGCCTTGGCAGTGGTAAAGGTTGGACTGGATGATCTTAAAGGTCTTTGCCAACCTAAATCATTCAGATTCTCTCAGAGTTATCCTGTTTTTCCAAAGGAGGGTCCATCCTGTGGCACGAAATATGGCACAGAGACACAGCACAGAAATAAATGGTTCAAATACTGAGAAGTTTGGATAAAGCAAGATTTTGGCAGCTCTACAGCACATTTGCTTTTAAGATCCCAAAAACTCACTCCAGACAGAGCCAGGTATTGAAGCCAACTTGCAGGCAGCAAAAAGTCAATAGCCAGAAACAAAGGAGAGAGATTTATTTTATAAAGTCCTTGTGCTACTTCGCACTTATTTTCTTCTGAACTTTGAGATGGGATAGAAGAGGTCACAGATACAGGTGGGTAATCCAGTGCAGTGAGAACCTCAGGAGAAGACAGAATCCTTCTCACTTTCTCTTTATTATGAAATAAAAATGGAGCTATGAATCATCCCAGCACAGACAAATCATCCAAAGCATCTTAAAACAGCCGCTTGAGTGACTGCTGCAATATCACCTGTCAGTCAACAAAAAGAGCTGCAGGACGTGCTCACCAGCTGATAGAAATGTGCCCAAAGCCAAATGGAGTCATTAAAATAACATGATTTCAGAAGGTCCTCAGCTAAAGCGTTTTCAGCCCCTTTGGAGCAGATGCAGTGACCTCTGTGTGAGCCAGGAGGGGACGGGCAGGACGGAGGAGGGCAGGGCAGGAGGACAGAGGTGAGGGCAGGAACGACCAGGGATGCACCAGGGATGGAGCTGCACATCACACACGGCGTCTGCAGGGCTCCTGGGTCACCCACAGAACATCTCACTCACAACTTCTGCCAGGTTACAAAAAAGTTGAGGTTGGAAACAGAAAGGAAAAGCAAAGAGTTATTATTGTCGACGCTTCCCAAACTTCCCAGCTCACCAAACCAAGGAAGAGCAGGCAGACCATGACACAACATCTCAGAATTGGGTGTTCCCCTGCCCCAGCAAACAGCACCACATGCAAAGATCTTCCCACATATGAATCCCAACCTGGAAAAAACACATATTTCAGAAGAGTCCTGATATTCCCATGTGAACACATTCACTTTTTTCTTTTCTTCCTACAGCCAACAGCTTCATCCCTGCGAAGACTTCTGTGGAAATAAATCCAGTTTCTACCCAGCAGAATAATCTGTGGGTGAATATAAAATATAAAAATACAATATTCTGTTTTCGGAAAGACTCCTGGGCCTGTATTTGTGTCTGAAAGTATTACATTTCTCTTGATTTCACAACTGAATTCAGATAATTCAGCTATAAATCAGCTATAAATCTTTTTGTGTAAAAGTCTTTTTGGAAGAAGGGAACTCCTTTGAGTCTAATCAAAGTTACTACGTAATTTTTTTATCTTAATTCCCCATTTTTTCCCCTCTTTATCATAATAGGTTTATCCTGTAATCCCAACCTTTTTCCACAACATGTCAGAGCCTTTATTTAGAACCAGAGAATTATAAAATCATTAAATCCAACCTTTAAGACATATTTGTATATATTCATATATATTTGTATACAGATACAAGGCTTTAACAGGGAAGACACAAATATATACCATAAATTCTAAAAGCTGCAATAATATCCTACAATAATTGTCATAGGAATTGTAGGAATGCTGGGAATTATTTTTTTGAAACTAAAATTCTTGAAGAAATCTTTTTATTCAAACCACAGAAACTAAAGAGAAGAACACCATGACCCCCTATTTCTCATACGTAATTTTGATCCCCCCAAACCATCCCCAGACCCCTTAAAACCTCCTCAAACCACCTCAAAACCCTCCAAAACCCATTTCAAAACCCTCCCAAACCCACCTCAAACTCCTCGGACCACCCCCCAAATCCCTCCAAGCCCCCCCGAAATCCCAAAATTTCACCTCCAGCTCCCCCCCAAACCACCTCAAAACCCCCCAAATCCCCCCCAAACCAATTCAAATCCCCCCAAACCACCTCAAACCTCTCCAAACCCACCTCAAAACCCCCATGTCCCCCCCAAACCAGTTCCAGATGCCTCAAATCCACCTCAAAACACCCCAAACCACCTCAAGTAACGCATGAAATGAGCGAGAAAAACACCCTGTTTCCAAAATGAGGTCACTGACTTTTAAAAACCACGAATTTTGCTGTGGGGGTTCCACCCCACATGGCCTAACCCTAAAATCTGTGAAGGGTTTGCCATCTGTTTTCTGTTGCGTCACACAATGAGTCAAACTTCCCCAGTCTGGGGGGGGTTTTTTTGGCAGATGATGCACAGAAGTGTGAAAAAAAAAAAAAAACCAAACAAAAACAGCCTTTCTGAATAAAATTGTCAACAATTACTGTGACTTGTGCTCTTTTCCAGGGATAAATGATATTTATAATATATGTGTTACGTGATCCGCCGTCAAGTATTTATTAATATTTTGCTGACTAAGAAAGCTTTTGACAGAGTTATCATCTGAGCCCCAGCTGAAGGCAGCACTTCAGAACAGCCCTGAAAACTGAACACCATAAATAATTTGCAGCAAAGTGAACTTTCTAATCTCTAAAGAAGCTGCTGACGGCAGAGCTGCCCGCGTGTGGGGCTGGGAGCAGAGCACGCTTGGCACCACGTCACAGGAGGTGCCAGGAGGGCACCAGGTGGTGCTGACCTGCCTGAGCACCCCTTTTCTCCACAAATCAGAGAGCAGAATAATCAAACTAAAGTATCCATGTCTCTCTTGTAAATATTTTATTTTATTTTTTAAACTTGGGATTTATTTTTTTTTTTTTGGAAATATATATTTCCTTTGCGGTCCCTTCCAGGTTAGAATATCCTTTTATCAGCTCTCCTGCCCACAGTTTTCCTCCCTTTCTGAGCTCATGTGCAAGTGGTTCTACTACCACACTGACCACCCAGTTCCAAGGGGTGGTTTCATCCAGGCTGAGCAGGTACCTCCATCCCAACCTCCCCTTTTGCTTCCAACATCCCTCCTCAATAAAATGGTACCTTTCAGTAGCACCCAAAGGCGCCCCAACAGTGTCAGAGACCAGTGAAAACAGAACAGTTCCACCCAACCTTCCAAATCACCTTCCTCATCCTGTTAAACAAATCCCTTCGTGATTTACATTTTAATTGTGATTCCCTGAAATTTTCAGCCCAAACCAGGCCCTCAGTACCATCCATGGGGAATGGATTCTTGTTTATGAGGTGCCCGTTTGCTTTATTCTCTCTTCTGTCCTTCAGGCCTTGTTCCTCCTCACACCCTGCTCTGGCTGTTGGAGTCTCTGTCAGTGCTGGGCAGTTTCTGGAAGTTCCAGTTATCTGGGAATACAGCCAATTTTTCCCCTTTCGTTTTTCTTTATTCCTTTTGACTATTTGCCTTTGTAATAAGAAGAATTCTCAGCGTGAAGGGCAGGGTTGTTGATATGTTTTTAGCTTTGTAATTACTCTGGAAACACAAGGGTGGCTGCGTTGCCCTGAACACTTAAAGCCTTTGATGGAGACCACTTTTAACGGTTTCAACCTCCTGGAGCCACTTCTCCTCTGCAAAGAAAGAATTTATAATCTCTTGCCTGTAATCAGATCAAGTGCAGAGCTGAGAAAGGCAGCCCTGATGTGTCAGCTCTGCTTGTGTCAGTCAGAACCCATTAAACTCACCTGTCATTTAGCACATGACCTAATCCAGCTCTCGTCATTCCACTTCCATCTCCGGAAAGAGCTTCCAGTGGCACATAATGATACCCTGAGACACTGAATTTCAACCCTTATCAAGCTGCTTAACCCAATGTATCGCCCTCAGCTCTGACTGGATCTAAATGGGCACCCACTGAAACTCAGGAGAGTTAAAGTCACCCCACCTGGGACAATTCGGGTCCCCTTCGCCCCAGCACCCAGCGGGTCCGGGAGAGGTGGGCACTGGGTGGCACAGGGGGCTCCTCCACAGCCTGTGTGACACTGAGGGGCTCCGGGGGGGAGCACTGGAGGCAGAGCCTGCAGGTGTCATGGGACATGTGCTGCCAGGGGCTCAGGTGGGTGAAGGCTCTCATGGAGAGACCATGGAATCATGGAATGGTTTGAGCTGGAAGGGACCTTAAAGCCCATCTCATTCCACCCCCTGCAGGGACATCTTCCACTAGCCCAGGTTGCTCCAAGCGCCATCCAGTACCTGGCCTTGGACATTTCCAGGGATCCAGGGGCAGCCACAGCTTCTCTGGGCAACCTGTGCCAGGGCCTCCCCACCCTCACAGGGAAGCATTTCTTCCCAATACCCCAACCATCCCTGCCCTCTGGCAGTGGGAAGCCATTCCTTCTTGTCCTTTCTCTCTATCCCTTGTCCCAAGTCCCTCTCCAGCACTCATAGAGCCCCTTTAGGCTCTGGAAGGGGCTCTCAGGTCTCACCTTCTCTTCTCCAGGTGAACCCCCCCAGCTCTCCCAGCCTGGCTCCAGAGCAGAGGGGCTCCAGCCCTCGGAGCATCTCCAGGGCCTCCTCTGGACTCTCTCCAGCAGCTCCACGTCCTTCTAGTACTGGAGCCCAGGGCTGGAGGCAGCTCTGCAGGGGGGGGTCTCACCTGAGGGGGCAGAGGGGCAGAATTTCCCCCTCACCTCCACCCTTGCTGTGGGATGAGCCCAGGGCACACTTGTCTCTCCGGGCTGCCAGTGCAGATGAGCATTCCCAAGCCAGAGGCACATCCCAGTGTGCCCTGGGTGGGAAGGGCAGGAGAGCACGAACCCTTCCCATAAACCACAGTCTATATATTTACACATTTACATCTCCATGTTCCACTCTGGGACTGGGCTGCTCCACGATGGATGAGGCTCAGGAGGCTGCTGGAACCATTCAGGGAGCAAGTTGTGTCTTCATTTGTACTTAAAGGGCTTCAATGCCAAGGTTCTTATGCAGATTCATTTTTTTTAAACCCACCACCACCTCAGCAAGAAGAACTCAAAACAATTCAATCAACAGCACAAAAACCAGGCCAGATTTTAGCAGGATATATAGATATAAATGCACATCACTCCCATCCTAAGACCTGCATGGAACAACTTGTCCCAAAACGCAGCGTTCACCAGTCAATGCCTAAATCTGGGAGCATAATTAAATGATTCCTTTAATTACAAATGCTCTAGAACTATTTATATATTTATAAAATATCCCTT